CAATTTATTTGATGTTAGATTCTTTTTAAAAACCAAATTATTTCAGTTTTAAAAAAATGCATATATTATGATTTAAAAAAATCTGTTTTAATACAGAATTTTATTATTGGGGGCCAATTTTACTGGGGCCATTTTTACCGTACACCCATTACCAACATGCATGGTCACTGAAGGTAGTACCTGTTTCACTGTAAAGCAGCTTTCAGTTGTTTAATGTGTCATAAGTCTTCATTAACATGCCAAACACTAAGGGCCTGTTCGAGCAAAAAACGCCAACCGTATTCCGTTTATTTCACCGGGTAATCGCGCTGAGGTCGACCGTTCGAGCAAGTTTTAGCTCGCGGTGAATACGTGTAACGAAACCACTCCGGAAGTAAATTTCAACTTATCCCATGGTCAACAACCCATTCTTTGTTTACTTGCTACTGCTGCTATAACCAAGGAGGTATACCTCCTTGCTATAACTATAACGGTGGAACGATAATGTAGCTCAATAACTTATAATGGCTGCTTTAAAATCTGTACGTAGACTAGTTTATTCAAGTTTATTTCTCCGAATAATGGTAAATCTACAAATCGATCGCATAGCTATGCTACTAAATTTAGATTTCGTCGTGCATGTGTGAGGAGGCGAAGGAGAGCTGCAACCACGCCCGGCCGTAAACTACTGAATTTCGCGCTAGGCTGTGGACAAAACATTTGAAAAAACAATTAGGTTGATTTATCATCGCCTCCGGCTCCATGGAACACAGTATTCTACCCAGCAATTTGGTGGTCAAAATTGTCGTGGATAATCCAGATGGTAAGGTAATTAGACTAGTGTCCGAGCGGTTTTAGAAAGTGTGTACCAGTGAATTAACTGGTAAATCGCACAGATATTTTTTCGCTCGAACGGGCCCTAATTCGACTTCATCTGACCAGTCAGATAGAGATCTGTAAAGGACTTGTACACAATAATGTAGCTGAAATGTTTTGTTTTTTTTTGTGATCCTTTTTAAGTGTGATTTTTGTGATATCCCTTGCTTGTGTGAATTTAGTACTTCTATTTTTGCAAGTGTGTTTTTGGCAACTTTTCAATGTGAAGCCTTTGTAAATTGACAAAATTCAACAATTATGTTTTTTTGAATAAACCTGAAATGAATGAATGAAAAAAAATTCAATATTCTTTGTAAAAATAATATAAACATAATTGTTTCTCCCATGATTATTTACAAATAAACAATTCAACTCATGAGACTGCCAGAAAAAAAATCCCAACCGGATGTGTCTGAATAAATGTGAAAAAGCAACTAGCTATCCTAAACCTCGTGATCAGATAAACCCAGTTGGCGAAGAACTTAAGGACATAAGAAAAGAAAGACTCAAATGAAGGACTTCATGTAAACATGACTTATGAAGTCAATTATTATAAAAAAAACATATCATGGGTAGTAATGCTATTAGTTGATTTAACATTTACATTGTAAACAACAACAAATATGAATTACCCTTTTGAGTGGAATAATATCAGATTCTGCAAGTTTAACTCCAGTCTCAGGATCTATCATATCTTTCTTGATAAGTTTCTCATAACATTCTTGTGTAACAACTTTGCCGCTACAAAGTATAAATAAATAGTCGATAATTAATACTGTGGTTCCTCTGGTATAAGCTCACCTCCTTTGAAAATGAAATTAGTCTGATTTTTCTGAGGTGGGTTTATACCCAAGAAACTAACGCCATGTTTTTGTTGTGTTACTGGAAAATGAAATTGGATGTAAAGTAGAGGGCGGACTTATACCTCAGGTGGGCTTATACCCAAGGAACTAAGCCATGTTTTTGTTGTGTTACTGGTACATGAAATTGGATGTAAAGTAGAGGGTGGACTTATACCTGAGGTGGGCTTATACCCAAGGAACTAAGCCATGTTTTTGTTCCGTTACTGGTACATGAAATTGAATGTAAAGTGCTATTTCCAGACTGGATCTAATTGGGTGCTACTCTAACAATAAAACCCATACATGTGTACCAAAAGTTATTATTATTATTACAGTATGAGAGCCTTAAATATTATTTTCTCAAAACATTTTTCTTAACAACATAAGCTTCCTTCTTTCTCAATTCACCGATTTATAATAAAAATACTGAATGTTTAGATGATTACCTTGGCCTTAACACAACACAGGGCACAGAATTTGAGAGAATATCATGGGTGACTGCACACTTGTAACGCACTTTTTTAGCAACTAAAGGCTGGCTGTCTTTTTCATCAGCAAGTGTGAACTTGACCGTTATTAAATCCTTCATTTTTATAGGCTTTTTACTTATTGGACAATAAATGGTTTTATCCTGAAACACAAATAGAATTAAACAAAATAAATATGTTGGACGTATGGATGGATCTTGGTGTAAACACCAAAGATACTTCAAGCCATGAAAGTCTGAAGACTTTATTTTTGCAGTGGGGTCCAACACTAAGAATAATCCATGGAAGTCTGAAGACTTATTTTTTTCATTGAGGTCCTTCTGGTGATGATTGTGCAGTGATTGGGCACCACCAGAAGGATCAAATCCTTTTCTATAAATTAAGTCTCCCAAAATATATTCCTATTTTACTTCAACTACCACCAATACTACCCCACTTCACCTCACTGCACTTCTCTTCAAAAATCCACAGTAACTTGCCCAAACACTTTTTGTTTTAAAGAGGGGCACTATTTCAGGCCTGTACGCAGGATTTTTATTGGGTGAGTGCAAATTTGTGGAAAGTGGGCCAAAATGTTGGGGGGAGGGGGGCACTAAAAAAAAATCTGCCACTGGTTTTGAGAGCAAACACTACTCAGTGTTCTTATTTTCAAATGTTCTGTAGTCTATCAAAAATGTTGATGGCCTAATGATGAATAACAACTTTGATTTGTTAAAGGGAACTGATCTTTGAAAAATTAAATCAATCTAATTAAAAACAGAGGTCGGAGTAAAATAAATCCCTACAAATTTGACATACACATAGCCTAGATGTGAAACGTGCCGCTTCCAACCATGTGTTTCAGATTTTCACTGCATATGTCAATAGACTATGTAAAATTATAGAACAA